AAGGAATCCGAAGATCCTACTAACACTGATTGATGGGGGGCGGGCACCTTTATCTGTTGCTGCTTTTATGGGAAACTTTTCACAGAGCCGAGTTCAGAAAATTGTCTTTTCAAACATACCATTCGGTGTAATTTTATAAGATCTGCAGTAATTGCCCTAGAATCTTCTCAAAGAAACCTTGAAATCCAGTGGCTGCTGTGTTATGAAAGAAGCAAGAAGCCTGGGGTAACCAGAAAAGCACTATTAATCCTGTTGGGGCTCATCTTGACTAATTCATTGTTTCTGGCAAGAGGGGAGAAAGATTGCTTTGAAAAGCTTCTTGGAAGGACCCCGGACCTATTGGCATGCACGCGCTACACACACACACACACACACACACACACACACACACACACACACAGCCTAGCAATGCAGAGGTCTGTATTTAACATTTCCAAGTAGGTAACTCAAGAATTAGGTCTGTGCTGAGTCTTGCTGCCTTTGGGGTCCCCATATCATAGTGCCAAATGCTTTCAGGATTTTTTTTTTTTTTTTTTTTTTTTTTTTTTTTTTTTTGTGGCAGGGCTGAGTCACAGTCACCTCCAAAGAGAGAGGCAAACATGGAGGCCTCAGTAAGGGAGCAGCTGGTAGGGAGAAGGAGCTGGGCCAAAGGCTCAGAATAGCCAGTTATGCTGCCAAAGGGTGAAAAGGGCAGAGGAAATGGGTAGGCTGGGGCCCCGTGGGAGGGGCAGCCCGGACAGGGAGGGGAAGCGAGGGTGGGTAGGTGGCTGTGGCCTGGAGATCTCTTGTCCATGAGAAGTTTTCAAAGTGGAGATTCAGGAGTGGGTGGGAAGCCTCTGAGGGTGGGGGAAGGGTCAGGACTTTGCCTCTGGCCAAGGAGGGACCGGACACAGAGCTACCTCCGGATGGCCATTGTGCAGAGAGAGCAGACACAGATCATTCTGCTGGAAGGGTGGAATGGGGTTTAGCAGGCCAGGGAGAGGCAGGGCCTGCTGAGGCATCCCCTTGCTCAGTATACAGGAGGTGCCCCATGAGTGTCAGTGTCCTCGCTGGCTGAGCCCCAAAGGCTTTGCTCCAGGTGGACAACAGTTTCCAGGGCCACTTTAGCAAAACCATCACCAAGTATTTATTGAGCACTTACTGGGTGCTGAGTGCTGGACCGGGCTCTGCAGAAAAGACAAGTGACGTGTAACAAGCAAACATGGCAAGTACCACCAAATCGGAGCCCTTGGCAGCCTCTCCCAATCCGATAGCCAGCTAGAATCCCAGAAGCTCAGGAACTGAAAGACATCTTTCAGAGATCAGTAGGTTGGATCGTCTCCAGGGCTTGGATTTCACTCTGTCATGCCTGCCAACCTCTGAGTGAACATTGAAGGTACCGGGAGCTCATTGCCTACCGAGGCCCCCCCACCCCCATTTCATCGTTGGGCCGCACTGCGCAGTAGGAGGGTGGTGAGCCGGGAGAGCACCAACTGAGAGTCAGGGGCTCCGGGCCCAGCTCCCCCACTTGGATCTTGGAAAGCCACTTAGTGCCTTGGCCTCCTGGTCTCCATCTCCGGAGTCGACAGCACAGCCCCTGCCCCGTCTGCCTTGCAGGGCTGTGGTAACAGAACCTTACACTCCAGGCTGTGGTCAACCGTTCACAGAGTGCTTTACCTGCCCAACTGGCCTCGCTGGGCCGCAGTGGGGAGCACTGGAGTTAAACGAGCATGTGGATGCTTCTTTAGCCTCTGCTCTCTTTGCATCACCTTGCTCTTAATGTCATCTGCACAGAGCCCTGCAAAGAAGCCTTTGTTAGGCCATTTGTCTGCATTTTGTAGGTGAGTTAACCCAGGCTCAGAGAAGTTAAGTGACGTGTCCAAGGACACACATCCAGCCTGTGATGGTGGAGCCGAGACAAAAGTCTCCGGGGAATCCAGCCCCCTAGGCTTCCCACCCCAATACTGTACCTGTCTCAAGGGAGATCAAGACCCAAATACCAACCGTAAGACTTGTCCACTGTACTGGCTCACTCAGCAGGTGCCGCTGCTTTAAACCCTTCCCCCACAACAACGGGGGGAATACCCCAGCTACCCTTTATCGAGTGCCTGCCACGTGCCTGGCCCATGACCTCCCGTGTCCTCAGCAGCCCGTCCCAGAAGCGCCCACTAAACAAAGTGGGCGATGCCTATTGTGAGTCCAAGAGAATTCCTAACGTGGCTCCCAGAAAGCGAGAGATGCCCTGGAGGTTGCTTGTTTCATCTTTTAAAAGCAATGCGAGTGTTTCGTTCTTCTCCGTAGTCACCTCTAGTTTTTAACCTAAAAGGAATGCATTTTGCACAAACAGTTGAGTAAAACTGAGCACCAGAAAGATCTGCCGCCTCGCATGTTGTGCCTTTGCGTCACTTCTGCCGCACACCCCGGGTTGTAAGCCACAGACACGCATTCCGTCTCATCTTCGTGACCATCCCACGCGGTGGGTGTTTTCAGGTCCGCTTGACGGATAAAGATCTGAGGTGCAGAGTGGTTGAGCAGGGCGCCCTAGGCCAGCTAGAAGGAAAAGGGCAGCCCCGGGACTCAGGTGCAGAACCCTCTCCGTTGTGTGACAGGCAGTGCCCGCCACCCCCGCAGCGTGGTAGATCCCATCATGTAGACTCAAAAGGCCCTAGTGGAGGTGGGGAGGAAGGCTTCCTGAAAGGGCTGGGGACCTGAGTTAGGGGCCGGAGCCGGGGCACTGGCGGAGGGAATACACAGGGCTGTAGGAGCAACACCTCGGGTTAGGAAGGAAGTTGCCTGGCTGGAATCACAGGGAAGGGCAGACGGCGGGAGGAGAGGAGGAGGTGGCTGAAGAGTCCGTGGGCCCAGAATGGGGGTGAGGGGCTCTGAACATTGGTCGGGCCACCCTGTTTCTCCTCGGGGATGCAATGCCCATCGTGTTCCTCCAAGCCCTGCCGCTGGCCACCTGTGACAACACAGCCCCCATGTGCCGGAGGCACTGGGGTCCCTTCTTTTCCTCCTCTTCCTGCGAGGACTCCTCTCTCTTTTCCCCTAATATGCTGTTTCAGCGGCCCTCTGCAGGAGGCCCCTTGCCTTCAGTAACCAGGGACACTGAACCCCCCACAGGACTGGCCTTCCCCATGATGGCATCCAAGCCCCCATGCTGGAATTCACACCTCCACAATATCCCCCTGAAGGAGGCAGGCCTTTCGGCAGGTGCCAACCTGAGAGCCTGAAAAGTTGAGGAGCTGGGCTTCCTGGCTTTGCAGACAAAGGACAAATGTGGCAGGATTCCACTGGTTTGAAATCCCTAGAGCAGGCAAACTCAGAGAGACAGAAAGTAGATGAGAGGCTACCAGGGCTGGAGAGAGGAAGGAATAATTGAGAAGTTATTGCTCAATGGTTACAGTTTTTGTCTTGACAAAGATTTTGAAATAGCAGTGACGATCGCACAGTGCTGTGGCTAGAATAATGCCGCCGAACTGTGCCCCCAAATGGTGAAAATGGCAACTTTAGTGTTATATATATTTTATCACAGTTTTTAAAAACTACTCTCAGATAAGGAGGCAATCAAAGAATCTTCATCACAAAAATACGGGGGACATGCATTATGCAGGTATGTTGGACAGGTAAGCCATAAACGCACCTTTGAATCCAGGCCCCAGCAGGTGTTAGCTTTGTGGCCTTGAGCAAGCTCCTCACCTCCCTTTACCTGAGTTTCCTCACCTGTCACATGAGGTTATTGGGAGGCTTAGACGCACTAGGCATGCATGTGGCTGGAACAGAGCAATGAAGAACAGTGATGAGTGGCCGTCATGGCTGTGATGATCGTGTTGGTCATTATCATGAAGCAGCTTGGGTTCACAGAGTTAGGGACGGGAGTCAGGCTGGCCAGCGTCCTGGGCTCTGTTGGCAGGTTGATCTTGAGGGTAGTGAGAAGGGTGTGGGAGGGGAGGGGGGAGGGCTGGGGAGCAGCGCTTGGAAGTTCATGTGCAATAGATAGAGTGGCAGGCTTTGTCCCCTGAGGGGTCCCCCCGGCAGCAGGGCAAGGAAGAGAGTGGGTCCCCATGAGGTGTGGGGGGTTTGACCCCTGAAGGGCCGGGCTCCCTCACTCTGCTCTGCTGTGCTCCCTGGAGGTGCACAAGGCCACAGAAAGTGGGGGACTCTACAGGGTTACTCATGCCCCTTCTTGAACACTCACCGTCCTCTCGAGAATAGCCTAAGGTGCAGTGTTAGCCCCAAAGACATGAGTAACTGGAATAATCAGTAACTTTGTGCTCTGGGTAGAGCGGTTCAGAGCTGGGGGCCAACAGGAGACAGGACGCTATCTCTGATTTGCTGTGTGAACTTCCCCTTGCTGGTCTGCACATGTCCACCTCTGTGAAATGAAGGGCTGGTGTGTCCCTTCCACCAGGAATACTGGTGGATTTTGTGACCTTACTTGTTTGTAAGAATGTCTTCAAATAGAAAGGGTGATGCCGTGACTTGATCAGCAACAAGGTTTACAGAAGTGTTTCGGTTTAAGATTTTACTGACAAGAGATACAGCTTTGCTCCCTTTACCAGCTGGATGGCTTTGGGCAGGTCACCTGAACTTTCTGTGCCTCAGTTTCTTCTAGTGCAATATAAGGACAAGAACAATCCCAGTTCGGGGGCGGGGGGACAGGGGGCGGCTGGAGAGAACTAAGTGAGGTAATATGTGTGGAATCGTTGGAATGGTGCCTAGCACACAGGAGGGGTTTAACAAATGTGTGGAGCTCTTTGCATAGGAAGAGCTCTGTGCGACTTCCTACAACATCCAGAGAAGGCAGAGGGCCATTCTCTGCATGTCAGGGGCTTCTTAACCTTTGTTTAGTGGTGCAAGACAATCTCCCATGAAACAATAGCCAACAAGGGAATGCATCATCCAAGTGCATGAGTGTAAGTGCTGGAGGGGTTCTGGGGGGGGGGTCGGGAAAGCAGGAGGACAAGGAGAGCACTTGGCCGGGGCCATGGGTAGGCAGAGAACGAGAGAGGGGAGGGGACCTCTCCCTAGCGTGAGTGTATGTGTGTTTGCACTCATGTGTGTGTTTGCTGAAAGAGCATGGACGATGGTTTACCCCCGAATGGGAAGTCTGGGCCTTGAGACCCCTAGGCAGTTCCACAATTTGTGTCACGGCCACATGCGCTTCTCCTGCCTGTGGCTGTGAGCGAGAACTTGCCTGCGTGGAGTACGGGAGCAAGCCCTGGTGCATAACCCGGGGTGTGATTAATTTAATTATTTCAAAAGCCCCTTTGGTATTTCACGAGGGTCATGCCCCTAGCTGTGGGCTTGAATACCACTGCAGCAGGTTTCAATAAAATCAATTAATTTAATTTGATTTGGTTTTATGGACTTGGAGCTGGTGCCTCTTGAACTCAGTGTGAAAATTATTGCAGAATAAAAATGCATATTAGTACTCAAGCCCAGTGTCCTTGGGCTCTGTTCAGGGAGCCTGCAGCGCTGATCACAAAAGCAAACCCGCCCCCCCCCCCCCCCGCCCCGGTCTGGCAGGGACTTCTGCCCACTGCTCCACCATTCACCCCTCCAGCTTCGGACAGTGTTGGTGGAGGTTGTGTGGGCTGTTTATATGGCTCCTTCACCTCCAGAAGCGCTTTCTTACCTGGCGGTGAAGCGAATGCATTTCCATTTTGCTTTCATGAAAGGAGCTCAGAGAGGTTTGGATTGGCCTCGGTCACCAGCTTCCTGGTCTGTTGTTAGCTACATTAAATGGAGGCTGTATGCTGCTGCGGACTGAACCTTGGCTGTGCCCCCGAAGAGACCCGTGAACTTGGGCAAGTCTCCTCACTTCTCTGTGTTTTTGTCTCTTGTCCTCAAGTGAGAGGGTTGGATGCCTGCTTCAAGGCTCCTTCCAGCACAGGGTCATATTCCACGGGACAGCTGCTTGTCCAGGGTGGAGCCCTGCCTCCTTCCTGCTCCCCTCCAGAGGGCTCTGAGCCAGCTCACAGAATGGTCCATGGGCCAGAGCCCTGCCTGCACCTCCCAGCAGGAGCGGCTTCTCCCCCACATTCCTACAGGTCAGAGCAAGTACTGTTTTCAAGAAGGGTGGAGGGTGGCAGCCCAGGGGGCCAACCCTGTCATTTCACAGACGAGGGAACTGGGTTCCAGAGTCGCACGGCCATAGCCGCGGGCATGGACCGTGTTCAGCCACATTCACCGTCATTATAAAGGGTGGAGATTTCGCCCAGCCTGCGTTTTCCAACTGTCCTTTTCATTCCTCTTTTCCTGTCAGGATGGGAGATGGCCAAGCCATCTTTGGGGCCTCCCCGGTAAAGCAGATGCTGACACCAGCTGTTCAGGAGCCACTTTGTCCCTCCCAAACCCAGTGGCTGCCCCCCCTACCCCCGTGATCCTGGTGGGAGAGGGCTGGGGGTGCATTCCAAAACATCCCCCACCCCACCCCACCGCTGCCCGACATTCCGCCCTGCCCCTCCCACTGCCCCTTCTCCTGACCTGGAATTTGGCACTGAGCTCGGATCCCCTTGACTTAGTGACATGTTTCGCACACAAGTCCTAGCTCCTCAGTACTCCTCCACGACAGAGACTGAATCTGTCCTTCGCATCCCCATCCTCTTTATTCCTCTGCACCTCTCACTTACTGGCAGGAACCTCTGATGTGCTGAGAACTGCCCCACACATCGTCCTCACATCTCATTTAATCCCCGCTCTGGCTCTGCAGAGTGAGAAGTACCGTCCCCTGTCTGGCCACGGCTCAGAGAGAAGGTCACACAGCTCCTAAGTGACAGGGCTGGGACTCAAAGCCACCATCTCCCTCCCAAGACTCTTGCACCACGCCAAGTGTCCTCCCTTGCACAGAATAGGTGTTTAACAGATCTTTAATGACAGATTACACTATATTTCCCTTTGCCAACAGCAAATGCCCCCGGAGAGATGATGGTGATGATTACTAATGCTGCTACTAATAGTAATAATAATAATTGTTATTATCTATGAAGCAACTATTAATGTGTCATGCACCAAAACTCGCAACGCCCGGAGAGGTGGGGACTGTGATCACCTCCACTTTACAAATGCAACAGCTGAGGCATAGAGAAGTGACTTGTCTAAGGTCACCCAGAAAATAAGTGGGCTGGGCTTCAGTCCCGGGGCCTCTAGTCTCCGGGTTCTAGTGAGATCTCCAGGTCACCTGGAGTCCTCTGCCTTTGGCTCTGCGCGGCTCTAGATTTGAGGTGGAAGGTGCCGCTGTCAGGCCTGTTGGTGGGGTGGTGTTTGCCCTCAGGGGCGCCTGCAGCTGGCACTGCCCTCCGCCCAGCTGATAGCTGCAGCCTGGCAGGCTGCCTGCCTGGCCCACACCGCTCTGGCACGAAGCCTGGCCCGATGGGGGAGGGGGGGCTGGGGGGAGGCGGGCAGGGGGATGGGGCGGGGGGGGGCGGGGTCCGGCTCGCGGCGTTGCCGCCCGCGGCCCTCGGGCCCCCCCCCCCCCCCCCGCCGCCCCTCTCCGGGTCGGCACCGGCCCCGCCGGGGCCGGCGCCGGCTCTCCGGCGTTACCCGCGGGCGGGGGAGGCGGGAGGGTGAGGAGGTCGGGCCGGGGCAGTGGGAGAATGCGGAGGGGAGGGCCGGAGACACAAGCTGGGGCCGCGGAGAGGGGCTCGGGGAGCACAGCGGGGAGGGGCCGAGGGCGCCGGGTGCCGGGGAGGAGAGGGTGCGAGGACGCCGCGGGGAGGGAGGGGGCGGGGCGCCGGGGGGGGGGGGCGGCGAGCAGGGAGGGGCGGGGGGGGGGGGCGGCCCCCGGGCAGGACCGGGGAGGGGGGGGGCGGCGGGGGGAAGGGGGCTGCGGGCGGGCTGGGAGTCCGGAGTGCCTGTGGCCGGGGCGGAGCGGCTGTGGTTACATCACGTTCCCGAATCTGCTTTCTCAGGGATCAGGCCAGGGGGGCTGGCGGGGAGGGAGAGGTGGGCGAACCAGTCTGAACTGGCCGGGCAACTCGAGGGGGCGTGGGCCCGGCGAAATGGGGTGCTGCCCGGCACCCTCTATTCTCATGACGCCCGGGAATTTTTCTGTGAAGCCGCCCCGTTTGTTTTACAGTTCCCCCAAACCCAGCCCCACCCTCTCCCTCCCTCCCTCGTCTCCCGTCGCCCTCCCTCCCCTTCCCTCTTCTCCCCTCCCCTCTCCTCTCCGGGTTGGCTCTTCCCGAGGAATCCAGGAATCGGTTAGCCAAAGGGAGGCACCAAGCTCTTGCCCTCAGCTGGCCCCACTCCCACCCTCTCCTGGAGGACTCCTGTGCGTGTCCTCCTTTTCTCCTTCCCCGCACCCCTGCCCCTCCCCAGGCTGTCTGGGGTATCTGGAAGGAGCTTAGTGAATCATCGCCAGAGGCCCTCCCTCCCATGCCAGTCCTTTACTGTCCCTTCAGGGTCCCCCCTTCTCCTCTGGCCTCAGGGGCCTAGTGCCTACAGGCTGCCAGCCTTCTGCTGGCAAAGAGGCAAGACCCAGGCAACCTTAGCAGGGTAAGAAGCTCACCCTTCTCCAGGGTGTCTGCATTTTGCAGGGAGCTTCCCGAAATGGTACACACACACACACACACACACACACACACACACACACACACACACAGAGCCCAGGCCCCAGTTCCTTTCAAATGATGGAATTACAAAGACTGGGAGCTGGATTTGGGGGAGGGGATATTTGAGGCAGGGGAGGCTTTTCAAGGGCCCTGGGATCACATCAAGAAGGCCACCACAGCCCCTCTTACACCTGCCACTGCCCTGCCCCTGTGTCTCTCCCAGTGGCCAGTTCAATTTCTAATTCATCCCCTGAGGCTGTGAGTTCTTCCATTTCCAAGTGACAAACTGGACACCCTGGGGTTTGTGACTGTGGGAAGTTTCGTGGGTTGCTGAGTTTGTGTTTGTCACAAGCTTGGAACTCTTTGACCAAGATTACCACTATCAAGACTGTTATCAAATCGATTCAATCCCTGGGATCTTTAACAGAACTGGACCACAGGCACCAGCATCCCAGTCCCGGATTTTGTAGACTGAAGCCGTTGAGACCCAGAGAGGTAAGGGACCTGCCCAAGGTCACACAGCTTGTTAGTAGCGCAGCTGGAACTCTAATTCACCTCCTAGCTCCCTGGCCAGCATGCTTTAATTTTAGGGTTAGCTCTGTGCTGGGGACCTAGCTTAGCACCAGGGAGGCACAGAGATGAATGGATGAGGCCTCAGTGAGGAAGCTAGAGAAATACATCACTTGGGAGTAGTGAGAAGACCCCTGCACCCCCACGAGCTTGGGACTCTAGCGTCTCCCCACTGAGTGTGCTGGTGAAATGTCTCTCCAGGGTAGTCGGAGATCCATTAGGATTCTAGCGTCAGCTTTGGTCACCTCGAGCCCGGTCATTATGCCCAAGGAAACTGTGGGTCCGGAGGTAGGTATCAGCATGAGCCAAATTGGCAAGTACAGATCAGAGCAATCAATGCTGTGACTCTTTTCCATTCATTGCCCTCAGCCAATATCAGAAAAGGTTGCAAAAGACGAAGGCATGTCTGTTCCTGCGGGGACTCTTGTCATCCTGGGGCCCTGCCAGGCATTGTGTTAGGAGACCATGGCCCCACACATCCAGAAACTCCGGACTGGAGGCCCCTGATGTTGACTCGGAGCTGCCCCAGCCCTTGGGGTCCTGCCTGCGGGGTGTTGGCTATTTTTGAGCACGGGGTCAGGAAGAGCAAAAGGAGGAGAAATTCAAGACAGTTGGGCTACGATGATCAGTTTTAGCAAAGCATTTGCAGAGGAACTGGACCGAAATGAGTGGTTAAAATAAATAATACTTTTGGTTACAGTAGAAGCTCGTGAACTTGGACCTCAGTGATTTGGAATTTCGGATAGTTGAGCTTGGCTGTGGTGAGGTTCACCTTTGCACTGCCTGTGAACACGGCCCATCATAGATAAACAGCGCACACATGACTCAGAGTGAGGAGGAAGGTGCGTGCGTTATTGTGATAACGAATTTTGACTGCAAGCAGGTCAGCTCCGTTCACCTTG